TCACCGCGGCGCGAGACACGATAAAAAAAACTCAAAATGGGTCGCTGGAATGATGACAAACCGTGCTACGCCTCGGGATGTATCTAGGTATGCCTATATATGTTGGTCCAGCGAGTGAGTTGTGTCCATCTATTGGCACAAGTTGGATCGAGTCACTCGGGAGTTAGGCAACACTTGGATGTAATGCGCGGGTATCATGTCCTTTGGGCTACCCTACAGGTTGGCACTAGGTTTCTACAACTATTGGCGAGCTTACACATGTATGTGGACGTGCTTGGGTAGAGAAGCTAAGGTCAAAGTTGATGTGATTGACCGATGTACCGGATGTTGTCGTGAACCTGGCTGTCGTTGTTCGGGGTGCGGCGAGCCCTTTAGCGCCTGTTCTTGGCAGAGCTGACATGATTCCTGGGTCGTGAGCTGGTGAGGGCGCTTCTTTATCGCTTGGAGCAATCATAGCCAGCGTCGGTTGACCTCTCGGGTGGCCATGGGTCGATCTTTGCCGGCTCGTCAACCTTTGTGTGCTCGTGAGCCCCCGAGGATGGCTTCTTAGTGTTTGGCCTATTGAAGTCCATGACCGGGAGGGCTCATGCATGTAGGTGCATGAGCCTTCATGGCACGATGATGTCACAGTCGCCATGTCTGTGTTTCTGGATGTGGTTGCCGCTCTTGATGAAGAGCTGGCGTGACCTGTCGCTGCGGAAGCGGGTTTTGAGGGCAATGTAGTTTGGTCCGTTCGGTGTGGCGTGTTGTGCGCTCAGGGGGCCTGCTTCCTCGGATGCATGCGCCTCTATGTGAAAGCTAATAGTTCATGATGGCATGATGGATGACTAGTCCGTCGCATGGGACTGGACCCTAGTTCTAGGGCTAGGCATGGCCTTGCGAGGCATGGCGCCGGGTAGCCGCCTAATCGCTAACGATGTCACTGTGTGGTGGCGGGTGATTTTATTGCTCGTTTGTGCCCTGCCATTGGGTCCAAGCCTCCCACACGGTGGGCCTAGATGGGGTAGTGGCCGGTGAAGGGTATTAACTGCTGGCACGGACGATCTCATGATTCCCCAAAAGGATGTGGCCGCCGGAGGCCATTCCGTGGGTGAGCTCGCCATGAGCCATTAGCCTCTGGTATCCTGGGCGGAAGACCTAGCCATAGCCGGTGATGCGAGAGGGTACTAGACCCCTTATGTAGGTGAACTCTGGGATGCTGGTGCTGAGGGCAGTTCGGAGAGTGTGTCTGCCGTAGGTCATGGGATCCAGATCTCCTAGATGGAGGTCCGGGCCACAGTTGAAGGCGGACGTGGGCGCTCGCCCTTCAACGCCGGTGAACTTGTGGTTTTCATGATGGATGTGGCCGTTGCGGGCCATTCTATGAGTGAGTCCACTAACAGTGCGAGGAGCCATCACTTCCTTCTCAACAAACGAGAGTGCATGACTGTCCCCTACCTGGCACGCCAACTGTCAATGTTTTGTAAACCGGACTAGTGAATTTATACGATTGTCGTGCTGTTCTAGGAGGACGATGGTAGCATCCAAAAGACACAATGATTTATACTAGTTTAGACCTGAGCCCTATGTCCAGTCTCAGAGACGATCGACTATATGTTCCTCGCTTGAATGCTCTAAAGTTCTTACAATGGGGGGTGCAAGAATGGTGAAAGAGGTAGGAGAGCTAGAGCTAAAAGATGGACTACCCGAATGAGAGCGTTGAGAGTCCAGGAATGGTGAAGATGTCTCAGGGGGGTGCCCTGGCTGCCCTTATATAGAGTCCGGGGCCAGGTTACATACAAAGAAGGAGGTTCTCCCGACCGAGGGGTCGTGAGCCTGAGGGAGGGAACCTAGCTAACTTAGTTTGCAAGCTACACCGTCTTGGGATGCACGTCTGGACCTGGTTGTCATCATGGTCTTCTGTCCACGTTGCGGCATGGTGTGACGTGGTGCAATAGTGCCGTTCATGGCAGCGCTGTGGGCATGTTGGTGTTTCATCAGCCGTCCTGCGCGACGTGGTCTTTGTCGTGGCCTTCGTCATCCCCTCCTGATCTCCTGGGTGCAACGTACAAGAGTTGGTAGCCGCCCTCGGGCCATTGGTTGTCTTGCTGCTTGCCATGCTGGTGGCCATGATCCCGTGCTCTGGGGTCATGGCCTTTGTTGGCTTAGTTGGCTTCAAAAGTCAAGGCCATCGTCGTGGCTCTCCATCCCATAGTGGGTGGGGTCGTACGTCTGTCTTGTTAGATCGTATTTGGACGGTGGGTCACCGTATTGGCCGTCACCGTTTGGTGGTGTTGTCTTGTCTCTACTGCGTGGCACAGGGATGGCGTTTGACCGGACCAAGGTGACCGCTGTCCCATTGGTCCTTGCGGGGTCAGTGTGGCGTGCCTTCTCTTGCTAGAGCAGGCACGATTGGCTGGACTCGATCTCTCCCCATTACTCCCAAGGGCCGGGTCGGTGGAGTGGTCATGAGTCCTCATGTGGCTAAGGCGGATGTTGGCGTCGTGGCGACCCCCGGCCTTAGCGTTCGGCCCTGTCCGCTTAGCTTACCTATGCCTCGATTGCTTGGGCTTATACTAGCTGGCATATCGCCGGCCGTCTGAACGGCTATCTAATTGATGCCTTGAGATACCCGAGGTATCATAACTGCGACACACGGTCATTGCGGTACCTCCAAATAATCTAGGATCCAAGGATGATAATAGAATTTAGCCCTTTTTTACATCACCCATAACCACCCTTTCCGCACTGGACCACCATTCATCCAAAGATGTATCGCTGGGCTATGTAGCGTGGGCAGAGAGGCTGACCTGCTCAAGAAGGGAAAACCAACTGTCTGCCAAACATGCATCCAATCAAGAGGTGTTGGATGCTTTCCTCATGCTGATCACACAGGAGGCAACGATCATGGTGGGGGAGCCCTTGCTTGGCTAGCCGATCTAGTGTCCAACATCGATTACGTGCCACCGGCCAAACGAAGAAGGGAGCCCATGAGTTCCATTGTCATTCATAGGGTTCAGAACGGATGGCACCCTGAAAAAGAGCATCATAAGCAGATTTTGCAGTGTACAGACCAGTAGTGGATAGCCTCCAAATATGTTTGTCAGGTACGCCTTCCCGAAGTACCACAGCAGAAATTATGTCCCAAAGCTCTAGGTACTCCATTAGTGCTTCCAGAGAGAGAGTGCCTTGAATACCCTCTAGCCATTTATTATTATTGAGGGCCTCCATCACAGTGCGCCTTCTGGACCTCCATTTTGTCACTAGTGCATACACCTCTGGTGCAAGGTCCTGGATGCTCTTCCCGGACATCCATCCATCTCTCCAAAATAAAGTGTTGGCCCCATCTCAAATTTTAGTAAACACTGCCAGGGAGAGGAGACTTTCAACCTCCTTACTAACTTGAAGTGGCAGGGTTGCCAGGTACTGTCCATTCTCTAGCTGTTGTTTCTCGTTAAAAGTCTGTTTGGCCATTTGAATTCTCTCAATCATTAAGGTTTACTTGGATCCCTATAATTAATAGTTAGCTACTTTAAAATAGCTAGAGACATGTTTAGATTATTAGCTAATAACTAGAGACCTGTTTAGATTCTTAGAACAGTCCCAATGCTAGATACCACAAATAATTTCTACCTCTATTAATTTACATAGACACTATACAGAAACTGTTCCTAGTGGATAGTTTCTACGGAATAATCATTTGTCCAATTGCATATCTTGTTTCTCCCTCATCTACCTATCATATCTCTCCATGTCTTGATTCTCATGTAGACATAGAATCTTATTAAAAAACCATTTCTTATCACTTCTTATTAAATCACTTGCCACATCATCAAAATGCTTTGGTGGCTGAGTAATTTTTGCACATAGAAACTATGATTTTTCTGAATTGTGAGTGCCCTTAGCTAATAAGCCAGCTAACATGTATCTTATCTATCACCAAGCTAATAATTAGCTATTAGCGGGTTTCTTCCATAATTAATAGTTAGTTGGATGGATGAAACAGGGCTTTAATCTAATAACTGAAGTTGTATCGGTTAGTGTGTCTTTCCGTCATAATTAGAAGAACAAGTATAATAACAGACTATAACGTGGTTAAATGCTTAGACGAAGAGAGAAGCGTGCTATAAACATACAGCTAGCTTAGAGCAACTCCAAGAGAGTAGCCATTTGAGTTGTGAAATCCTATTTTAGGTATTTTTGGAAGAATCACGGCTCCAACAACTATTCTATCACGTTTTCTAAAATAACAAGTCATCCATCCTACACTTCTCGTTGGATAAAAATAGCAAGCCGTGAAGGCTTGTCATCTGCATGGTGGTGTGCTAGCAAATGGTTGGAGTACATTAAACGGAGAAGCGAACCCATCTCAGCATGACATGTCAACTTTAAAAAATAGATAATGAGAAATTTAGAAAGGTTGTTGTATTACTCTACACTTTTGGTGGATGTTCTATTTTAGAGAATGACTAAATCATAGATTTTAGACTCTAATTTTACGTAGTCTTTTGGAGTTGCTCTTAGGCACAAAAACCAAGAAACTTTATGAAAGAGACAACTGGATCGTATATTAATAGTAAAGAGCTAACTGCTATATGAATGAGTCGAGAGAAAGCTACAAAGAACCTTATAGCTATCAGACCAGCTGTATTATTAGCCTTATTCGTAGAGATAATAAAGCAGTGCGCATGTCGGTTCCATGACTGGCGGCACCGGCACAAATTATTGGTGGTGGGTATTGCGCTGCGCATATCTTTTGACACCATTCGAAGTTTCGGACAAAAAAGCAGAGGTGGTGAACAGTGAAGCAACAAGTTGAAACAGAAGACACAAAGAAAACCAACTGGGACCATGCATGCTCGGAAATGGCCCCCAATATACCAACCCTATAATTTATAAGTGACCCTCCTAGTGGAAATCGTCCAATACCAATGTAAGCCAGCGACAACGTTTCCAGTCTGCATCTCGCCTGGGAGGGAGAAAGAGAGTGAGCGAGCATGGACAGGAGGGCGTGCGCGACCATGGACAGGAGGGCGTGCACTTCCTTGCTCGTGCTCATCAGCGTCCTACTCGCTCTGGCATGCCCGGTTGCCGCGGGGATGAAGGCCACGTTCGCAGCGGGCGTGGGGGTCGCCGACACGGCGGTGTTGCGGCGTCTGATGACGACGAGCCTGGAGGATGGCGTGGCGCCGGAGCTCACGGTGGATCCGGAGCTCCACCGTCGCATCCTGGCAGGCGACTTCTTGACACCAAGCGCGTTGAACCCAGATAGGGCGGCCTGCGGACAGTCGTGCCCGGCGCCCGGGAGGCCGTACACCGGCCGGGGCTGCGAGAAGATATACCAGTGCCCCCACTGAGTAAGCAGCTTCTCAAGTGATCGCCACGGCCCACGGATAGATACATTCGTGCTTGTTAATCGGTTGTGTTGTGCATTCGCTGGTTGGTCGTCCATCGAAATCTTGGTTGCTACTAGTTACTATCTTGAAATAATTATGTAATGTACGTACAAACCACAAACCACAAAGAATTTTTACGTGATTGTATCAGCTAATAACTGATCCAGTTCTTGAGGTACTTGGCATCCTGTGAAGACTTTGCAAAGCTGATATATGAATTAAATACTTTCTCTTGCTTCTTAATTTGTTTTGTCAATCATCTGTGTGCCTGTACTTTTGTCTTGACTGTAAATATATATAGACATCGAGCGATTCACACAGCTAGCACAAATCGTCAAGGAGAAGTTCTTCGTTTCGCTCAACTTGAGATCACTGATCACCGCACTTGAACACAGTTACACTAGTAAATAAGATTATCCCGGTCAAACTATTGAGGACCCAACAAATCTACGAACGGACTCAAAATCAGAATGCGGCTTAGTGCCATCTGACCAGACAGCAGCAAATATGGTGACGATGAGCATGCTTTAGCCCAATCTCCGCGGGCATCCACACAACTTTTGAGCTTAGTGTGACCCACGAGCAGAGTAGGTACCATGTCGTGATCAGACACCAACCAACGATACATGAAAGTGGAAAGCCTCTTGAGTTGGGTCAGGAGGAATCGATGTATAACTAACTGTTGAGAAATCGACACTACGTAAAAAATAATTTTTAGCAACGGTTCGATTTTTTTTAGGGGCGGCTGGTAATGAAGCCGCCCCTACAGTGGCGTGCTCGGGTGCCCAGACACCAGCCGCCCCTACAAATAGAACAATAGGGGCGGCTGGTGATACAAGCCGCCTCTACAAATGGGGTCTGATTTGTAGGGATGGCTCAATCACCAGCCGCCCAGGGTCGGCTGGTGATTGAGCCGCCCCTATAAATGCCCCCGTATATATAGCTCCGATTTGTAGGGGCGGCTCAATCACCAGCCGTCCCTACAAATGACCCACATATAAAATAGCTGCAGCACCTTCTTCCTCCTCGGGTCACTCACTCCAACCCGTGAAAGAAAGATGGGGAGGCCTAGGGCACCTTTCCAAAATTGCTCTACTAAGGGAGAAGGTTTTGGTTTCAAATCCTTCAGAGGAGAGGTTGTAGAAGGTAGGAAAATATTATTCCACACTTTTTTTGAAGTTTTAATGGTTGGTTAGTGAGTAATTAGAGTTTTGTTTTTCTCTCTCTTCTATGGTGCTTGAGCTACTTATGAAGTAAATTAGACCAAAGTTTTAAATGTACTAGAGTAAATTAGGGAGGGGAACAAGATCATACCCTTATTTGATCCATGTTTCTTGATTTTAGTGAACAATTAGTTAGTTTTATGCATGTTTCATGTGCATGTAGATCTAGATCTAGGGTTTGGTTTTTTTATTAATTTTGTTTTTGTAAATTTATGTTTGATAAAAATGGACTAGGGTTTGTATGAAAGATATTGGGTAAAGTATAATTGTTGCTAATTGTTGTCTTTTAAATTGTTTATTGTAATTAATAAATATGTATTTTAATTATTTATTGATAAATGAGCCATTAATTAATTTTTCTCTACCATGGTGTGTTTGTATGCTTCATGTAATTATATTAGATTTATATTCAATTATATCTGAAGTATATACAATTATTCTCAAGTAATTATTAATTTAATTCATTTTTATATATATCTGAATAAGTAGTCTTTTAATGTTTGTTTTGTTGTTGTTGTAAAAGATGGAGTACAGAAACTCTTGGATGTATGATTCGTTAAGGTTCAAGGCAGGTTTCCGTGAAGAGGTGGATAAATTTATTGAAGCCGCAAAGAGGCATGCAACGATATTGAAAGAGAATAAGGATACAATTATTTGCCCCTATAAAGATTGCAAGAACCATATGGCATGGACAGATGTGACTATCATCATATCACATTTGATTATGCGAGGATTTGTTGAGGACTACACAGTGTGGATTCATCATGGTGAAATGGTTATTGTTAACGACGAGGATGAGGAGGAATGCGACGATGAAACCATAGAATCCCTGTCCCACTATTCAGCAAAGCTTGATGCACGAATGGATTCCGAGTTTGGCAATGAACAAGGTGGTGATGTTGGTGGTTGGGATGGTAACGACGAAGGTGGTGCCAATAATGATGGTGGAGCACGTGTCGGGGATGAAGTTGATTTGGAGGACATGATTCGAGCTCTTGGACTAGAGATTTTACTAAATAGCCCGAAAGGTCTAGAAAATTTGGAAAGGGTGACAAAAGCATCGAAGGAGACTGTGTATGGTGTTGAAAAGGGTTGTCCGACACATTGGATATTGCTACGTTTTGTGCTTGAGCTGCTCATCCTGAAGGCTAAGTATGGCTGGTCAGACTGTAGTTTCAATGATCTATTGCATCTCCTGTCATGGGTGCTGCCACAACCAAACTCAGTTCTCGCCAACACATACCAAGCGAAGAAGGTCATAAATCCATTGACATGGGGTTGAAAAAATCCATGCATTCTCCAACCACTGTATACTTTTTCGTGGTGAAACGTTCAAGTCACTGGATAAATGTGCCCGGTGTGGGGCCAGCCGGTACAAGAACAATGACCTTTTACGGTGGGGACGAAGCCTCCACGGGGAAAAATAGGAATAAGAAGGGTACAAAAAAGGTGGTACAAGAATCTCAGCCCCAGAGGACACTCCATTAGGCAACGATGCAAAGCAGAGAAGAATTCCTGCCTTGGTAATGTGGTACCTGCCAGTGACCGACCGCTTGAGACGTATCTTCCTAAACCCTAAAGAAGCCGCACTCATGACATGGTGGGATGATGAGCGTAAGGTGGATGATGATAAGATTGCACACCCGACTGATTGTAGTCAGTGGCAAAGGTTTGATGAGAAGCACAAAGAATTCAGCGATGACCCAAGGAATGTACGGTTTGGCTTGAGCACCGATGGAATGAATCCCTTCAATGAGAGGATGAGCGACCACAGCACTTGGCCAGTGATCTTGACCATGTACAACATCCCAACATGGTTGTGTCAGAAGAGAAAGTACATTCTCCTCACTATTCTTATTTCTGGCCCTAAACAACCAGGCATTGATATAGATGTGTTCCTCGAGCCTTTGATGCAAGAAATGGAGAGGCTATGGAGGCATGGGGAGCAGTTGTACGATGCGTTCTGAAAGGAGGACTTCATATATAGAGCAATAATATTTGTTACTACCAATGATTACCCCGCATTGTTTGCTTTGTCTAGACAGATCAAAGGGAAGACAGGATGCTTGGTTTGCTTGGATGGTCTGAAAGCACGGAAAGACATGGTGCAGCTAAACATGATGCCACAGCTTCACCCGGTACCTAAGGCTAATGGAAAATACACTCTACCCGTGGCATGCTTCAACCTAACACTAGACGAGAAGAGAGCTATATGCACTTTCCTGAGGGGGGTCAAAGTCCCGACTGGGTTTTCAGCAAATGTGAAGAAGCTAGTGTCGATGAAGGACTTGTCAATAACACACTACAAGGCTCATGATTGCCATGTGGTGCTAACAGTGTTTCTACCTATTGCAATCTGGGCTATAAAGCTAGAGTTCTTGAAAATGGCCATCATCCGCATGTACTACTTCTTTTCGAAGATCTCATAGAAGATGATTGGCGAGCAAGAGCTGAGTGACCTACATGAATTTGTGGTGGAGACACAAAATCAACTAGAGATGTATGTACCTCCTACTTTTTTTGATATAATGCCACATCTCATGATTCACATGGTTCATCAGATATAGGCGTTGGGCCCTTGCTACTTCCATGAAATGTGGTCCTACGAGTGGTTCATGTCGGTTCTAAGTTGATACGTGCATAATCGAGCATACCCAGAGGGCTCCATGATAGAGGGTTACAGTACTGAAGAAGTCGTCGAGTGCTGTCAAGAGTACCTAAAAGTATAGAAAGGGATTGGTAAACCCGATTCTCGTCACAAGGGTAGGCTGACTGGGAAGGGCACCAGTGGTAGAAAAGTGTTCATCGACCATGATTACAAAGAGGTGAGTCGGGCGCATTACAGTGTCTTGCAGAGTACACAACTGATGCAACCGTACATTGATGAACACTTGGCTATCATTATGGCGGAGAGAAATGGCCGTTCGAATGATTGGGTCATGAAACAACATAAGCAATGACTAACTACATGGTTGAAGGACCAAAACATACCGCCTGGAGAAACCATAGACTCTATTACCATCAGTAGGTTGGCGGAGGGGCCATCGAGACAAGTGACATCTTGTAATGCTTATGACATCAATGGGTATACGTACTATACCCACGCAAAGGATAGTAAATATGTGAACCAATACAGTGGCGTTCAAATAGAGGCTCTCGATGGATTGGGGCGAAAGATCCAATACTTTGGCATCATTGAAGAGATATGGGAACTTGACTATGGAAGGGATATAACGGTGGCCCTGTTTCGATGCCGCTGAATCAAACAACACCAACTGAATGAGATCGGATTAAGAGTCCTGAACCTCGAGAATCTAGGCTACCAAGATGACCCTTGGGTGCTCGCTTTATGTGTCGCATAAGTTTTCTATATGTCTAACCCACAAAGTAACCTCCCCCGAAGAAGAAGACAAAGCACGTGGTTGCCTTCGGGAAACAACACATTATTGGAGTTGATGGCGTGGACGATGTTGAAGCTTACAATAACTACGATGAGATGCCGCTATTCACATACTTTCCTAAGAAGATCAGTGTTGTGAAAAAGAACCTCCCCAAAGACATATTGCCATGGGAACGAAAAGGTGTCAAGGGGAAAGTTGTTACAACGGGCTAGCTAGTTGTTGAACGTGGACTGTTTGTATAAGCGTGTGTTTGTAAGACTTCATTTATGCATGCATGTGAGACTATATATTTATGTACGTGTGTAAGACTATATATTTTTGTATGTGTGTGAGACTA